CCCAAAGCAAATGCATGTAGAAGACAAACATCAGGCACCACAAGTGAAAGCATTCGAGCCTCATTAGTTGTAGAGAAACACAAAGTTTGCTTTAAACTTTGTGTTTAAACTTTGCTTCTTACCTTGAGGATTTAAGCCTTCAACCAATTATTAATCAGCAACTAATAACTGATCTAGCATAAAGCCACAGCAGGGTAGTGGTTCTTCTAGCTAAAGCAGATCTTTGCACATCAGTGGACTGTTGATGTGTTATATTGTGTTTTTGAATCCATAAATCCTTTAGTCTCCGTGGTGTAATGAAAACTCCAAGCACTTTATCCCTGAATACTTCTCTTCATCCCTTTCTTTACTCTCTTTATTCCTGTTGCTCCAAAGTCTAATTAAGATTCAAGCCTGTAGAAATCCTTCTCTAAAGCCAACTTGGTTCTGGAAAGCCTCCAACAATCATTTCCTGATGTGATTATTGAGTCAATAGGCTATGTTTCTGTAAATGTGACGTTTTCTCTACCAGTCTTCTTCATTTTATAGGCTGAACTAATTTGTTGCCTTTGTCCCTGCAGGAGCTCTTTGCTACGCTGAGCTGGGAACCTGCATTAAGAAGTCAGGAGGACATTACACATATATAATGGAAGCATTTGGACCTCAGGTGGCTTTTATTCGGCTTTGGGCCGATCTCATTGCAATAAGGTGATGTAATGTTGCATGTACTCCACTTTTGTTGGCCTAAATTTTCATTGAACAAGCATTCATTAAAACATTTTCAATACCACAAATAGAAACAGAAAGTACTGCAAGCACAAAAACAGGCTAACATACAAATGTAATGCAAAGTTACAGAAAATATAGAGCAGGATATTACAAACATACTCCAAAAAAAAACAACTGTAAACAAACAATATTACCAAGACACAAAGACACAAAGAGCTGTGAGTGGCTAAAAAAAAGACAGGTGAAGAAGCGCTGCAGACTAACACAAATAGTCCGGTCCACCAGGGGGCGGTGATCAGTGTGTCGAAAGATGGGGTTATAACCTTGATCTGTTACAGGGGGACATAGATAAGACATGGTTCCAGGATAAATGCAGAGCTTTAAACTGGTCTCCACCATGGAGCCAGGCTTACAGAAAATAAAACTGACCTTCACCACGTTCCACACCAAAACCCTGAGGGCTCTGCAGAAAAGAGCCGTGACACGACCAGGGTACAGGAGACAAACACCAAACCCTCTGAATATGATGGCCTCAAAGACTCAGGACATGAACCAGGAACATAACAAAAACTCACAACATAAATGACACAAAAACATAACACCAATTACCTTAGAATATAACAATGAGCAGGTGAATATGAACAATGATAATTAGACATCAGGGAGGGAACGACAGGTGAATAAAGTGTGTAAATAGATCAGCTACCAGGGCTATGATAATGATAACAGGCAAAATTACACATGCAAATTAGTTTTACTAATTGCGCCACCGTGCAGTTAAGTTGCAGATTAATTTGCATGTGGTAAAAGTTAGCATTCTATATCCTCCACCAGTTCTTTTTCCTGGTTTGGTCATTAGAATATTATCTGAATATTGATAAAGGCACACACACAAAATAGGCCTGCAGGTCCTGTCTGCTGAACAGGAAACGCAAATGACTAATGCTGCGTTCACACCGGGGGCAGCTGGCGCGACAGAAGCAGCGAGTTTACATGCAAAGTCAATGGTTGACG